AAAGTACATGACCAAACCTTCATTTTTTCCCTGGTAAAATCCTCTTGGCTTCTGGAGAGGCTGAACCAGGCAGACCCCTGGAAAGTTTCTGTTGTGCTGTAGGACAGGAGGGTTTGGCAGTGCTGAACTCTCACAGGCACTGCTGATTCAGGCACACTGTGGGAGCAGAGGAGCTCTGGGAAGAAAGATGCATGAGATTTTCCACCCTCTTACCTTGGGTTACTCTGAAATGTGGCTCAGGGAAGAGCAAAAGGAACTTGGGTGCAAGAGGCACTTCCTCCATTGGGAATTCCTCTCCAGCAAACAATAAATATCCTTTGTAAAGATCAATCCTGAGCCCCTTCCCGTGGCTGGGGAAGGATCAGTGCCATTGCACAGCGCATTGCACAGACACTGAGGCACAGCCTGTGTTCCTGCTGGGGGCAGAGGCACAGCACAGAGGAAGACCTGGGAGCCTCCTCCACATGGACACACCTGGAGGGGTTGGTTCCTGCCTTGCCTGGCAAACTCAGGCTGCCAGGAGACACAGGAATGGATTTTGTGAGAGTGCAGCCTGTGTGGGCTCCAAAATAACCATGCACAGCAGCACAGAGGAATAGACTGGTTATGGGTTTAGCCCATGGTTTAGACTAAAAATCCCAGCAGTGTCTCCTTGAAGAGCAGCAGTGAGTTGGTGCCATGGAGTGCTCCAGGAACCTCCTCAGGCCGTGTTAGCAACAGCAACAAACTGCCTTTTGCAATATGTTTGCTCTGTGAACACCAGAACTCAAGCACAAAACATGTGCAGTTGCACAGATCCTTCCTCACCTTTCAGAACAGGGTCAAACACCGAGTTCAGCTCCCAGTGACAGAACAGGTCAGTAGTTGCCTCCCAGTTCCCACCTTTAGAGGAAGTGAAACACTTTGGTGGGCTCTGAGACTCCTGATTCCTCTTTGCACAGAACTCGAAGAACTTTCCTGTCCCCCTCCCATGGGCACTTCCCTGTGCCCTGCAGAGATCCCACAGCTCCCAGCAGCTTCCCTGGCCACCCCACGGCCTCGGCTCTGGCTGCAGGAAGGAATAGCAGCCCAAGAAACCTTTTTGTCCCCCTGCTTTTACATTTATGTGGCATCTTAGCAGGGTGCAGAGATCAGTTTTCCTCTGTTGTGTTCCCTGCACAGGCTCTGAGTAGCTGATGTCTTCAAGCTCAGCACTTGAGGACAGAAACATAAAAACTTACAAGAAAAATCACAGGCAATATGACTCACAGCAGCAAAACTACCCATTGTGCAGCCTGGCTAAGCACAGCAAAAACACATACATGTGTGCAGGGAAGGAGGGAGACTGAGTTTGAATTAAACTGAATTTCCCCTTGACTCCCAGCAGCCAAACTGAAAAATAAATTATTCACCGAGGCTGATTCCTGAAGAAGCCCTGCAGGACTGCAAGCCCAGGCCACTGCCCAGGTGAATACCATCCAGAGCTCAACTTGATGGCACTTTGTTATCCAGAGGAAACAAATTAATTTTCCTCCTTTGAAACTAGGAAACACTTGTATTAGGCCATGCATAAAATAAAAATAAGGGGGTCCTGAAGTAAATTACTGAGAGCAACAAGTATCCCAAGCCATTGCCTGCTGAGAGCTGAAGGAAACAGAGGCTATGATGAGAAGAAAATGCAGTTTTATTCTCCATTTAAACAGAAAGTCTTATTAAAACCATCCCTTTAAGGCTGAGCATTGATCTCTGTGAATCAGGGCTTGTTTCTGGGTGTCGAGGGGGGACAACAGCAAACACCTCACAGTGGGTGCCCTCCTGAGGCATCTCCTCTGACTTGTGCAGGAGGAACAATCCACAGAAATTACCTGGACCTGAGCAGAGCAAAAGGGGCTCCTGGGACCTGCCCAGTGCAGTTCTGGGGTGGGAGCTGTGGAGCTGCTCAGATGTGCACGAGAACCCTCCTGCTGCAGGGCAGGACACCCAGCACTGGATCGACAAAGGGATAGCTAAAATATTCAGCTTGAAAGTCTGGGGTTCAAATTAGTGAGCTTCGGAGAAAAGTACATAGATTTTTGTAAAGAAGCTGCTGCTGTTCTAAATTTAAAAATAAAAGAAATTCCCAGCGAGTGAGACAAGAGGAGCAACTCCGCTCCTGCTTCGTGGCAGAACACGAGGTAATGTTTTGTTTCTGACTAAAACTAAGTCATTATAGGAAAAATGTCACTTATCAGGAAGTTTGCTGCAGGTCTTTGACAGCCCAGGAGTGGTTTCTCCAGGGACAATCTGCTCTGTCGTCCCTTACTGGGACAGCAGCAGATGCAGCAGCCGCCCTGCCCTCTCCCCTGTCTGCCTCGTGGCTCAGTTTGGAGTCATAAGGGGTGAAAAATAGCCTAAGAAATGTGTGCAGGTCTTATCCTGCCTCTTCTTTTCCCTGCCAGGGTTATCAGACACACACTTTTGTCATCACTGGTTCAAAGGAGCAGCTCCTGACCCCATGGTAGTCCCGGTGCCAGAGCCAGGGCACTGTGGGGAGCCCCAGGTCACCCCAGTGCCACATTCCTGCAGAAACCAGGGGAATAGGGGGGCTTCAGCAGGAATGGTTTGCTCAGGAAGCAGCATCCCTGTAAGACCTGCCTCTAGTTTAATAGGCATATTTGGTGACAGCTTTAATTTGGGAAGATGTCAGCAAGACCAGGAAAGGAATAAAGGAAGTTGGTTTCATTTTGCTACATATGTCTTTCCAATGGGATTTTTTTTAATCAATTTTCCAGCGTTAATGCCCTGTTAATGGTGAGGTGAGATCCGACAATATCGTAATAATGCTTTTCTCACTTATGCTTTTGAAGCACTCAAATGATTTCTATCATAAGTCAATGAAATTAAAATAAATATACAGAGAGAAAGTGTGGGTCAAATTCTCCGGAGTTTGGGTCATTGCTAATAAAGTAACCAGAGAAAAAAAAAGCAAAAAGGTCACATAAAGTGAAAGGACAGGCAGAACTTGAGCAGAGTGAGGAAACTGCCCAAGGAAGGGAACAAAGTGAAAACCAGACAGTGAATCATCGTCACTGGGGTGTGCAAAACCCGACTGGGAATTCAGGCAGCTCCTCTTGTTTTGCTTTGCCCATCCCTTTGATTCTTTTTGCAGGTTATTAATACTTTTGCTAAGCAGCTGTTTGGGGTGTCCCAGAAGGGAGCTTCCCTTCCCTCAGGACTATCTGCAGCCGTTTTTCTTTCCCTGCAACCTTCCCCAGTCCCTCCTCTCAATCCTCTTTTTGCCAGGGCAGTGCAGGACCAGGAGGTGTTATGGCTGAGCAGGGCTTTCTGAGGTCACTGAGAGTTTGATTGACATCCTTGCTCTATCCTGACTTTAAAACTGAACACAGTTTTAAAGATGAAATTCAATATTTAAGGGTACATTAAAAAAAATGTAGCGGGGGAGAAAATGGGGAGGAAGAGAAAAACAGATAAAGTTTCCCCTAACTGATGTATTGTGCCTCTAGATCTTTTAAAAGGGAGGGAGAACATTGGCAAAAGATATTTTCTGGCTGGCAGGGACAAAGGAGAGTAGAAGAATTGAGGGTAACCTATCTAAGAAGGAAGGCACGATCTTTTCACCCTTTTTATTTTGGCAGACTAGACTGCAAACTGCAAGGAGCATTTCTGTCCCCTTGCCTGCATTTGCAGTGGGTTTGCCCAGAAACAGCAGATGAGCTGGGAGTCAATCGTGGTGCATCAGAAGCCACCAAGGCAAGAGAGATAAGAACCCACTGCACTTCAGGACTGGTCAGAATGGGGCTTGTGATGATGGTGAGTGCATGGAAAGGATGGTCCCGAGCTGCAGCTGCACAATCAGCCCCAGCAGATCATCTCAGCACATCATCACCAGGCTCAGCTCAGCTCCTGGACCTGCCTGCCAGGCTGGGGGGAACCCACTCCTGCACAGCAAAAGCCCCCCTGGATGAGGGGAGGAGGAGTCACAGAGGCAGCAGAAGAACCTGGAGGAGTAGAAAACCCCTATTATCTCACATTATCTATTATATGCCTTTAGCATAGCCCATTTAAACACCTGTAATTTTCTGAAGATGCAGGCAGGTTACTGGACTCTTCAAGGGTACTGCTCCTGGCAAAAATAAAACAAACAACAACAAAAAAAAGCCAACCCCAAATTTACTTCAAATTTAACCCTCTCTGACAGGCATCATATTTTTAGAAGCACTTAGCCCGTGTTAATACTTCCTGGACGTGCTCAAACACTCTCTGATGTTGTATTGAGGCAAATTAGTGAAGATGGAGGCTCATAAATCCTCGGGAATTACAAAACTAATTAAGTGCCTGTGTGATGTACTTGGGAGCAGAGCACTGGTGTGCAGGTCTGTGTTTTCCAGATACACCAACTGAGCTGTTCTTGCTGCAGGGAACAAGGAAGGACTTTCCCTTCCCCAGGTCTGGGGTGAGGGGGGCTCTGGGGAGCCCGTGGCACAGGCCATGGTGCCATAGCTTTGTTTCCTTCCCAGGGTAGCTGTGTTTGCTGGGATCACCAGCATGCCAGGGCCCTGGCACATCCCATCCTCCTGCTTGGGCTCAGCAAAACTTATGCCTGTCCATGAGCTGATGGATTGCAGAGGGCTCAGAGCTCCCTCCCTGCTCCTGTGCCCTTCCTGGTGGCAGAAATGGCACCACGAGGGATGTGTCCCTTAATGTTGGATTGCAGAGAAAGCTGCCTTTTTTTCTCCTTTGGCTCTTGTAGTCCCAAAAGACAAGGACCTTGCAGTCCCAGCACTGTGTCCATAAACAGGTTCTAAGTCCTGAGCACATCAGGACCCCAGGCTGCTTGGAAGAAGAAAAATGGAAATAACAGAAGAAAAGTTGCTCTTGACTCATCCCACGGTGACTGGTACCAGTGAGCAGGGAGTCCTGGTCCCAGGGGCAGTTCAGAAGTGCTCAGGGGGCACCCCTGAACTCACAGGTGTTGGTTCCATGGCTCCTGGTTCTTTGCATCATTAAATAAAACACTGTAAGTAACCACCCAGGGGGTGAGGCAGGGCAGCCTCTCAAACTGGGCAGCTGCTGAGGGCAGAGAGCACTTGCACGTGGAGTCAGTCAGGGATGGACACACTGGGATAGTCAGCCAGCTGAGAATTCTGATTATTCTAAGTAGTTTGGGCAGTTATTTTCAGGAACGAGTCAAACAATTAAGGTAAAAACCTTGCACTATTTTTTCTCAATGAAGAACATACTGGTTTAGGTTTTTAGGCCCCTGGCTAGGAACCCTCTTTTCTCCTCTTCAGGGCTGGGTACAGCAGAGTCTCCACTGACCTCACCAGCAGGTGTCTGCACATCATCTTCCACTTTTGGCAGTTCTTAGGCTTAATTTCAGGCCCTACCTGTAAAAATTACTTTTCCCTCCCTGGGAGAATGCAATGAGGTTGGAAAAAATATCCAGAAAAACAAATTTCCTTTTTCCCTTAAAATTTCAGTTCAAAGTATTGGAGTGGAGAAGGCAGCAGAAAGGAAGTCCCACACTGAAACCACCAAACTCCTGCAGGATTTGAGGGAGTGGGATTAGCTGAGCAGTTCCTGTGGGTGTGTGTTTTCCCTGTGCTCCCCTAGGAGCTGACTGACTGACTCCCAGCATGTGCTGGTGGGGAGCGGAGGGGGAGATGTGACTGACTGTGCCTCCACAATGCTCCTCATTGTCTTTTCTTCTCTTACAGCTGTTTTTGTGAGTGTGGGTTTTGAGGGACTCTGTGTGTGGGTTTTGTGTGCGAGGAGACTACAAGGATTTAAAGGGCTGCATTTAGGGAAAAGCTAAACTCTGCCTCCATGTTTTCATGCTTTGGATTACACACCTAAGTGCTTACCCACTCACTTTGTGTTGGCTACAGTTTTGCACGGCCAAAAACTCACATGGGAGTGCTCAGACCTTCCACATGTCCAAATTGCAGGATTAGCCACCTAACAATTGGTCCAAACACACAGAATTGGCGATTTACAGACTCAGCCAAAATAACAGATCCCATTCCCTGATGGAGGAACTTGGCATTGCCTTGCTGAAGTCGTAGGAGCTTTGCAGATTTACACCAGCTGAGGATTTGGGCATAGGTGTTTCCTGAGTGAGAAAAATCCAAAGGGAAAGAACTGCTGTATTCAGTTTATTTTTACAGAGCAGAGTCTACAGAAAATGGCCACTTTGCCAGAGAAGCTGGGATCACCTCATGGCTGTTTGTGCACGAGCAATAACTCCTTCAGGGGATTCACAGAGTTGTGCTGTGACAAAGTTCTCCCATTCCTGCCAAGAAACAGGAACCACTGCAGTTTAATGTCTTTTTTTTTCTTTTCCTAAACAGCAGTACGGATGGCATTTTTGTACTTGGAAACTTCAGGCCCTTACTGTCACCCTGCTAATTACAACTGTATCCACAGTTGTGGTAAATGGCCACATCCCTCAGAATTGCACCTGCAGTTACGTGTAGCCTGGTGTCTTCCCTTCCCTCACCATTCCTGCCTTGCTCCCAGAACTTGCAGATACAGGATGGGTCGTTGGGGTGGAAATGGTTTAGCAGGACCCACCATCCCTGGAGTCTGAGATCACTTTGAATGTGCCCATAATGGGTCTGTTCCTCATTGCTTTGTTCCACTGGGTGTGTCCTGTGCCATTTTCCCTTAATGAGGAGCGAGTTTATTCACCCTCGCTGGGTGTTGGAAGATCAAACCACATGGGGTGACAAGATTACAAACACTTCGCTGGAGGGCTGGAAATACTCTGGAATGGGATGAGAGGTTTAACATGTTCACAGAGCCACAACTTGCCAGTGAGTGGAAGGTGGTACCGTTCCAGAGAACTGGGCAAGACTGAGATGTGTAAGTTACAGGAAATATTAAAATTCAACAAAATCTGCTCTGACACCCAAGCCTCAAATAACGCTTCTAGGGATGGATTAATTATCCAGGCAGAAATCCTCACCCACCCAAGCTTGCTGCCTGCACGTCTGCCAAGCCCAGCCCAGCACTGCAGATGCACAGCCACCCCTTAAACATTGCAATGATGATCACACAGCTCTCACAGCTACTACAGGGCATTGAATGGGATGTTGCAATGGGAACACCACTGCAAATCACTGGTTTGGCAGGAGATAATGAGGAACCGTGTGCCAGGAGCTCCTGAGAACGTGGACAGGAGAACTGACTGCGTGGGAAGATGAGCAGCCCTGAAGATCCCAGAGCAGAGGGAGCAGAAAGCAAGTCAGCTTCATGAGACAGCAAACAGAATGTCCTTGGAGAAAGGCTGCAAGGAGAGACACATATTTGCACTCTGTTGCTTGGAATGTTACAACCCCAGCTTCTCTCGAGAGTCCCTTTCTGAAAATTCTAGAAAGCACTTCCTATCCAATAAAGAATATAAGGAAAAAATCCCCAGTTTCCCTCTATGTGTGTATCTCACTTCCAACACACAAGCTTTTTATATGTAAGGTTAATCCATTCCCTTTTTTTGGAGTCGAGATGGGATTTTCTTCGAGGTCCAGGAAGGTACCACGTGCAGACCTTTCCTTCTCCTGCACCATGGGCAGCTCTCACCTTCTTAGGATGGTCTGTTCTGGCCATTTAACCTAAAAATTGATGGCTATTCAGAAGATATCAGTGAGAGCTCTCACTTTTTCCTGGTCCATTCCTGTGGCATATTAATGGCTCTTACTGAAGGTCCTGCTACTGGGTGTTGAGAAGTTGTTGAGTGTGAGTAAGACTGTGTGCACTGGAGATACACGTGGTGGAATAAAAATGTGCCTCTGTCTAATGCTTTCTCATCGTGCCATATAATACAAACTTGGATCCAGGGTCCCCAGGGCCTGTGGCCCAGGTTTTTTAGGTCTAGCCTTGATCTGATCTCAGATAAGGAGGCTGAGTTGCCCTCAATGGTCCCGCAGTGATTTGTGGCAGGAACAGGATTGGTTGTTTTCCTACAAGAGCACAAGAACTGTGACAGCCTGGAAAGGGGAACTCACAGCATCTGCACACAGAGATTTCAACATGAGACATGGCTAAAGCCTGGTGAGGAATGAAAGCCAAGGGGGCAGAAGGTCAGACTTGTGCAAAAGAGGTGACAGACGCTAGAGAAGGTGGAAGGGGGCTCTGAGTAATGAAAGGTTCAGAAGAGCTGAGATGACAGCAAGCAGAGATGACTGGGAGGACGTGGGAGACTTCAGGATGATTTTACCTCAAACTGCAGGATGAAAACATGAGAGGAAACAAAATAAGAGGAAACATTACCCAAGCTCTAGGGAAAAACAAACCAGAGATCCCTATAACAGATTTAACCCCTGTGTCTCTAACAGACTTACACACACCTCTGCACTTTGGGGAGGTTCAACCAGGAACCAGCTTTGCACCTTTGCTCATTGCCCCACTTCTTCTGGAGGATAGAAAGTGTGGAAAAAGAATGAACTGGTGGGAGGAATGTTCTATAAATCATCCAAGCAGAAGCAGAGGTCTGACATAATTTTTCACTTGTATCTTGCTGTTGATAAGAAGGTGATTTTCAAATCAACAGACCCTGAAGAAAGATACTCCAAAGGCCTTCTGAAAAAAATTGCATGCACAGAGGCAAAGTTGCAGAACTGGGCTCTAAGTGGAATTAAAAATGGATCAAGCAATAGTATATAATGTTGAGATAGCATTTAAGCAACAGTGACAGTATTTTAGGGACATTTGTTGGCAAAACTTATATGTGACTACAAAAAAGGAAGCATAGGCACAGTCAATCACCTTAGTGCCACTATTTAATGAAGGGGATTGGGAATTAGGAAGAGCTGGATGGCATAAAATCAGAGCAGGGGAGGATGGAATGAAGAGGTGATGCCTGTTACCCAGAGATAAAGAGGACACCAAAAAAGAGGAGATCATGAGGGTATCTAGGCAGCTGCAGAAAACCATCCTGCAGAGCAGTGTTTGTGTGAAGAGCAGGGAAAGTGTCTGTGTGTGTAGGAGTGCAGGGATGGGATGAATCATTCCCAGCAGCAGATCCCATGAGCAGCAGCAGCCCCAACGTGGCCCTTGGACCCCCAGCTCAGGACTGAGTGACTGGAGTTACTGATGGCTCCCAGGGATGAGCTCACACAGCAGGGTCAGTGGGAGCACTGACAAAATCAGTCTCTTTAATCATTTTCCTGAACTCAGGCACCCATTTCCCTGTGACTTATAAGCACTTAATATCTCTGAATGCACTGACAAATGGGTTGAAATTGGGTAACATGTCCAAGAGCTACCAGGGAGGAGTAGATAACATTCTATGATTTTTTTTAAAAAACTGTCGTTTTTTTAATTGCATTTCTCTGATAAATTATTATGAGTGAGTTGAAGCTGATGGAGCTTCCTCCCAGTTCCACAGCTCAGTGCCTCGTGGTCTTGGAGAGCTGGGTTACCCTCACCACGTCTGTGGGCCATGGGAAGCTGCAGCCTGCTGTAACTGGTGGGGGTACAACTGTTCCATCCTTAATACAAAGGCAGTTAGAAGACTCTGGAAGGTTTTTATTACTCAGTATAGTTAAAACATCGCAGATGCGTTAAAGTACTGATATAATTTTACTGGCATTAATTATGTTTTCAGGCATTTTGCTGCTTCCTACTTTTCAGCAAGGGCCAAGAGAAGCATCAAAGAACTGCCCCAGTGGTGATTGTCCCCGTCACATCCCCACCTGCAGCAGTCAGGAAGTCCTGCTGAAAAAAACTCCATTTTCCTTCGGGAGAAAAACTTGTATTTCCAGGCTTGAGCACTTTGTGTAAAATCGGAATGTCTAAGTGGAATTGCTGAACATTTTAAGCCAAGTTTTTCCATGGGTTTTTACATTCAGCTTCAACAAGCCAAAGAATCAAGGCCAATGCAATCTTATGTCCTGAGGGATGACCCAAGAAAAATGTTTCTAGAAGCTTCTAGAAAATACACTTAGCACTGTGACTGAACCCTGAAGAAATTAACCTCAGAAAAGACTGAAAATTAGAGCTCCCTATAGATTTGCCTGCTAATTATTCTATGAAATTGAATGGGGAATCTTAAATAGCCTTTAGACTTAAATATACATTTTCAGATCCATTATAATTACTTCTCATCTGCATGAAAGTAATACCCTAAATAGACAGTGCTGAACAATTGTAAAGGACAGTAAGGTCCCTGTCCAGAGATACTTAGAATTAGTGCAAATATCAGAGGGAAGAAGGGGGTAAAATAAGCAAAAAAAATGAGCATTACTATGGCAGGCAGATGGCCGAGCTGGGCAGAAAGGGATTTCTCTGCCTGCAAAATATTTGAGAATTTTAAAATGTTCCCAACCCACACTCAGATGAAGCCAAATCTTTTCAATGTGTTTTGCTGAAACTACTAAAAAAAAAAAAGGCAAATAACTAAACATTTTGGTTTTCAGCAACATCAAAAATTAATCCCCAAACTGAAAGAATAATTTGAAAACACTGGAAATAGCCAGAAGCTGGATGTTTTCTGCTTTGGGGTTTGTTTGTTTTTAAGCAACTGGAAAGCTTCTCTCAAAAGAATGGAAAAAGTAAAAATTACTTTTTTTTTGTTTGTTTTTACTTTGTCAAATATTTTGTGGGGAAATGCTTGTGATTTACTGCTCCCTGTGCTTTGGAGTCAGAGCAGTCCCAGAGCTCTGAGCTTCATGAGGGCCACAGTTCTCCACCCTTTTGCAGGGCAGTGAGAGGGGACACCTGGGACTTGGGGAGATGAACTTCTCCTGACTCACGTGGCCAGGGAAAGGTGGGCTCTGGCAGCACTGCCCCTTGGCAAGGAGAGGCCCTGCCCAGTGAGCCCAGTGGTGCTGGCACAGCTCCCAGGGAGGGCAGTTTGCTCAGCTGGGGCTCAGCACTTCCCTAGAGGGTTTCAGGACACAATTTCCAACACTCTGTTCATCCCCACGGGCTGCAGGAGCTGTTCTGCACTCCTGGGGACCCATTCCCTGGAGAAAGGCTGCAGAGAAATCTTTCAGCAGAAGAAAACAACTGAAAGAGCTCCTGGGAGCAGAATGTGAGTGCTGCTGCTGATACCTGTTCCCAAAAGATGATTGTCAGCTCTCTGTTGCCTTGGCAGATCTCCTCTGGCTGTGCCCAGGTCTCCATTGTTCATCAGCAAGTCTGGAAGCTCCAGCCCAACTCAGTGCAATGTCCTGTGCTTAAAACTCACTTGGTAGCTCCGTGCCAAGTTTCGAGCAGAGGAGTAGAATAATTACAATTTCAGTTTTTCATCTCATTGTGGTCAGCCATCTGCCCTGCCTGCATCAAGAAGAGCCTCTTTTTGTTTCTGCAGGTGCACTGAGGAAAGGCCATGTGCCTTTTCACACTCGTGTGGGGCAGAGCTGAGCTCTGTGTCTTTGCAGCAGACACGAGGGCAAGCAAGGACAGGTCTGTAACAAGCAGGGGCACAGAGAATTAGACACCCAAAAAAGCAGAGCTGGTGTATTTTTCTTCTACATCAGGTAGTGGACTTCATACACAACAAAGAGCTGCCCACAACACAACTCCTGCTGGCAAGGAATATTTCTCCCATCCCCATTCCTGCATCATTTTCACTCACATGAATTGCTGTTAAGCTTATGCCTAAAACCTATGAAAATGGCCAGAGGCACTCCATTGACAGCTATAGTAATTCTATAGGATTATTGAACCGTCCTCAGGAATTTTAAAGAGAAATGTAGTCACCAGGAGAGATGAATAGAGCAGCTCAATGTACAAAATAATATGTATTCAAGTCCACCGCTGAAAGCTCCCCCAGCCCATGAGGGACCACTTGTAACAGCCACAGTGAATCCAACTGCCTTCAGTATTTGGTGAGAAGGAAACAATCTGTACACTTATTAATTTTTAGAAAATGTTATGGCATTTGTACACAGCAATATTGGTTTTGCTGCTACAGATCTTGCACAGACTGACTCCTCTGTTTAACTTTCTATATTCTAAATAGGTCCCATTGACTTTCATGAGCCTGCTTGTAAGTAAAGATAACTTAGAGGATCAAAGCCCTATAAACTGTGTCATTAAATTTTAAGAAGTCAAAAGCTGCACGTTCCCTTCCCAGGCTGCACCAGCATCTCCCATGAGTGCTAATGAGACCAGTTCTCATGCCACTGTTCTCTGGACATCAGAAGGCACAGATTTGATTTTAGCCTTGATTGCACAGATGAAAATAAGCAATAACTCATGAAAATCAGTGTAGTTATACATGGTAGTCAAAATACAGCTGATGAAGTTCATGTTCATTTTGGGTACCTGTCTGAAGTTCAGTTCTCTGCTAAGTACAAATAATACAGCAGGTCTGTACAGTAGGGTAGTAGAGCTCATTAGAATTGATTCTTCATGTATTTGTC